ATAAAAATTAGTCTATATTTAAATAAAAAATTTTAATTTATTCATTGTAGTACAATATTTTAAACATGAAATTTTAATATGCTATCAATATTGTTTGTATTAAACTTTAAACATTCTACAATATAATGATTTTAACTGCGCTATTTATATATTTTGATTTAACACGGTTAATTTGTTTACAGACAATTACTTTTGTCTTTTTCATTTTTGCAGAAAAACAGTACTTATTACTTATAGTTAGACAATAAGTTTTAACAAAGAAGTCAACTACTACGAGTGAACAATAATGATCACAATACAAAATATTTACTGACTTTATTGGATACATGATCAGTAAATTAATTCTTAAATGTCTTAATTTAGTGGTCAAGTTTGTTATGGACACTGAATGTTTCTGCAACATCTACAATCTCAAACACATCGGGCTTTAAATTACTTTTCTAGATAAACTTTAACTCAAGAAAAAAACATTACCTACGATACTACTTTATCATGTAACTATCATTGAAATTTATAAAGTTTACAAAAAACTACTAAATTATAAATACCTGAAATAGTTGAAACAAAAACTCCTCAGCGGAAACAAGATTGCGAGTTCGTCTTGCAAACAAGCTGAAGGAGTTACAACTCAACATAAACAGTTGAAAAAGTTTTTCGAGTTCAATCGTTCGCAAACTACCACGAATATTATTTTTCGTTTTCTTTGCATTGGCTGAAAATGATATTTAAGTAATATTTAATTTATCGTTTTCTTTCATAAATAAATGCTTATNTATAAAATTATGATTATGAAGTGTGCTAACAAAAATGTGTACTTTCATTGAAAATCATTGATAGTATAAAAGTCTAGAAATCTATTAAAAGGAGAATTTTAATGTTTTAACATATAATACGGAAAAATAAAAAGGTATTTATGTCATTCTCAGTAAATTTAAATATTGGTGATATTTTCATAAATTATCTCTCATGGCATAAAAATGATCTCTGTTTTTGGAAATGCCCAAATATATTTGAAATTTTTATAAATTTTCTTTAATTTTTTTGCATTTATAAGTTATGTTTTTGTTTCAGAAAATAATAAAATATGTGCTATAATTTTTAATAACTTGATTCTGAAATTGGTCATGTTTCTCCAATTTTTCCATCAATACAGTTTTTATGACTGAAGAAAAAGTATTAGAATATCTGATAAATAAGATTAAAAGAACATTCAAAAATATGTTTTAAGCAAATTGGGTTTTATATTAAATCATTTGCTACCTAATACCAAAAAAATGCAGTTTTTATGTAGTCATATATTTTTCAGTATTTATTTGTATCTTATGATTATTTCTTATACTTTCTATTGAATTTTGCGTCTGCGATATTATGCACTCTATTTTTAATATTACACTTTTTTCCCGATAATCAAGCTCTGCTCATGCATTGACTTACTTTTTCTGCTTTTTTTCCTTCCTATAAATTTATAATTGCTTTTGGTATGCTCTAATGGTTTAATTTTTTTCAGGCAAATGTATCTGAATGTACAGAACTTAAATTTATCCGTGCCTTGGTGTCTGCTGTGCATGAAAATGCCATAAAAGGTTTTTTTTATTGTACATATCCTTTCTATTCTATTCTTTTTCTTTTTGAAAACTTGTTTAAATAATTGTTTTTGTTATAGATACTACTTCTGGGTGGGAATTAGATGTTACGAAATTGAAAAAAAGGATATCTATACTAACACCGTATATAGATAATAATGAAAATCTAGAACTTCAAGCTTTATATGCTATTCAGTCACTAATGAATCAGCAAAATCAATCTAAAGGTAATTCCTTCTTTGATCCACTTACATGGCAATTTTATGACTTACATCCTGTAATCTCATAATCTCTATAAAGTTTTACATTATCTCTGCCTTGCAAGATTTTGTATATTACAAATTATGTTCTGCATTTTTTTTCAATTTAATTTAAGACTAACTTTTATTATTGAATAAGATATTGTTTGGTATTTTTACAGTAAAATATTGCTTTGTATAATAATACCCAATGTGTAGCCTGATTTCAAGAATATCTTATTTCAAAATAACTATAAAAATGTCATTTTTCATTCCATTAAAACTTTTCATTAGGCTAGGAAATTTTTTTTAAATATTTTAAAACTGGTAATGAACCAGAAACAGAAAATTGTCATATGGCGTGACTTTTCTTAATACTGCAGTTGGCATTGCTTTTTTTTTATTTTTCAAGGTCTTATGCAAAATATTATTTAATCTTTATTTATATATTTGCTTAGTTTGAACTTTGTTAAACCTTCTCCTAGTAAATATTTAAATCGAAAAAGATTTATTGAATAAAAATTCCGTCAGATGAAATACTTATTTTATTTCTAATGGTAGTGTGGATTGATTATGAATAGAAATAACGCAACTCAAGAGAACAAATATAAAAATAATTAAAAAACAGTTATTTCCTCATTTGACACCTTGCTTCTCAGAATCGCTCAGCAATAGTTGCTTCACGAAGAGCACTGCAACGAAGAACGTGGTGGCAATTCATTACAAATTGTCCTCTACATATAAAGCAGTATGGATCAGAAGCCATCTTGAATCTGTATAAGTAAGCGACAAAGCCTGAACTGAGGCACCCTTCATCACTCGCCCAGTCTGTGATGCTATTTGGCACGAAAACCTTCCACGCTTTGTTGGAATTTCTTTGTATCAGTTGTTTCTACAAAATAGGTCAAAACTTTTCTTTTGGGAACTTGTTTAAAAGGTGAAAAGGGGGCCGGGATTATTATTGACTAAATCATTGGTCATTTCATTGCCTTTAATTCCACAGTGAGAAGGGATCCATTGCTGAGGACAGATTTTCCTATTGTTGTAAGCTATTGAGATAGGACAATTTAATCTATCACTAGAAGAGGGACTGTTCACAGATTTTATTGAGTAAAGAGCTGCTAATGAGTTGGAAAAATGACAACATATGTGAGCTTGTCTAGAAAGCATACCAGAGTTGTTCCACGGTGGCACAGATCACAGTAATTTTATCGATGTAGGTTGTTCTTTTATTACCCACAAGAATTGCAAAACACTCCAGCACAAGGTGGGTTGACAACCTGCTGTCCGTGGGAGCTTCTGAACACAAAGAATTTTTATTCTTAAAAAATAAAATAAAAATTGAATTGCAAGTTTGAGTCATCACTTTTTAATGCCCTCAATTTGCACAGATTCCATTGTAAGCCTATTTTGTTTCTTGATCACCTTTTCAACGGTTAATTCCTACGAAATTCTCCTTCATATTTTTAATACATTAGTCTGCGTGAATTTCAAATTTGATTGGTCACTTTTCACAATATATATAAATATATATATATACATATTTGCTATATCAATTATTAATAAGAGGAAAAATATTTTTATAAAAAATGTTTTTTTAATGAAAAGGTATTTTGAATAAGTTCTATCAATTAAAAGTATTTAATTTTCTGCAAATACACAAATTTTTTTGCTGAAAAAATTTGATGCTAGAACACTAACATTTTTATAAAAATTATCATATTTGCTACCAACTTGACTAAATGGATCATGGTATATGATAATTAAGTCATTTAATAAAAATTTAGTTAGATTATTGAATTTTTTTTCCTTATTTAGGCAATTTAATTTAATAGTTATTGACATCTATTTTCATGCTTTAGGCTACTGAAAACAACTATTTTGTTAATTTTTTGGGGCAACCCTTTGCTAGTATCGGAGATAGTCTTTTTTTCTTTTTTAAACACATTTGTTATTTGCATTTTAATTTGTTAAATGAATTTAGAACTCACATCCCCTGCTAATGAAGCAATTTCTTATATTTTTAGGAATTCTAAGGCAGATTTTCGACATCTTCTACGACGATAACGTTATCACCGAAGAATCTTTTAAAAACTGGGAACAAAGTGATGATATAAACGAAGTGGAAGGCAAAGGTGTAGCATTACATTCTCTCAAATCTTTTTTCACTTGGCTAAAGGAAACAGATTCTGGTGATTCTGTGACTGATGAATGACGATTCTTGCGCTCTGAATTATTTTACTTAGATAAAGACTCGACAGCAGTTATTTTGTGTATGACACAAGCTTATGTAATGAATCCTGATGCGACTAATCAATCAGTTGGATCTCTATTCCGAGTTTACTATAGGAAAAATGAATTGTCTGTGCAATTTAAACAAAGTTATCCCCAGTTTTGTAAATTAAAGAAGCATTTGCAGCTTCTAGTGCATCTTATAAAAAGAAAAATATTCCTTTTGTTATTGAATGATTGACTTGTGCATGTGTTTAAAAGGGTGCCAGTTTTATCTTGTTTACTTATATTTAATGTGAACAATTGCTTCTGATGTTTGGATGGTCGCGTGACTTTCTTCTTAAGAAACCATGACGGCTGTTTCATTGGTTTTGATTCATAATAAATGATGAGAATCACGGAAAGATAGAGACCCGATTATTTTAAAGACCTGAAAAGATTTTAGTTTTCTTTAAATTATGTAAAATGACCCATTGTACCTAACTGCCAAAAAATAAGCTAATTTATGAATTGTTAATTTTTCTTAAAATTGCGTATGTTGTCTCAAGGTTGTGCCTTTAATTATTTTTTTCGGCCATTTTGCTCAAATTAAGTATCTGTTTATTTCCGTAGCGGCATAGAAGAGGGAAGTATACTTTGTAAAAAATATATATATATATAAAAGCAGTACTGTTCCTACAGGTGATTAATGAAATTTTTTTAAAAACAAAACAAAAAAGTGTATAATCATATACTTAACAGCATACTGTCACGATGAAATAATGAGAAGCTGATTTAATTTTAGAATAATTTAACATTTACCAATAATTTTTAAACATTTACGAATTAAAAACATTTACAAATAAATTAATTCTAGACTATGACAAATGTATTTCCACTTCATATTGTGATATCAAAATGTAAAAAAAAATGGACTGTAAATTAAATAGCTGCAATTTTGTGCAGAGTTTATTTTTAGATGATATTAGATTAAAAGTTTATACAAGTACTTCTGTGACATATTTAGAATCCAATATCGTGATTCTTGTAATAACTAAGTTTTTTTCCTAAATTAGTTGCTATAAAGGTGTGAAATTTTTCATTGGTAGGTAATTTAGTAATAAATCTTAATTTAAAAAGTTATGTTAATCTTGTATATTTAAATCGCGATTCTTATAAGAACTAAGTTTTTTCTTAAATTATATGCTACAAAGGTGTGATATTTTTTCCGTGGTAGGAATTATAAATCTTGGTTTATAAAAATTAGAAATTGGTATCGTCATATCGAGTTTTTGCACAAAAGAATTTTCAGTGTTTTTAACTTTGCGTTAGAATGACCTCTGTGAAATATCGTTATTGGTGAAAAAAATGTTCTCTGCATTCCATGAATTGCATTAAATGCGATACTTTATCATTTCTATTTAAACTAATCGAATAGTTTTTTCTTCTTGCCAAGGGCCACACGGCGACATTGTCGCAGGACGATACCAAGTTCTTGCGGAAAGATTTTACCTTTGGGAAGTTTTGGTTTTCAGAAATTTTTCTAAGATTTTTCCTCTTTTCTTCAGAATTATATTCAAAAGATGCATTTCTCACGCATAGAAGAGGGAAAAAATGCTTATGATTACTCTATTCTCATTTGAGAATGATGAAAAAATATTTTTTTCGGCCATTTTGCTCAAGTTACGTATCTGTTTATTTCTGTAGCGGCATAGAGGGGGGAAGTATACTTTGTAAAAAAATATATATATATATAAAAGCAATACTGTTCCTACAGGTGATTTTTGTAAATTTTTTTAAAACAAAACAAAAAAGTGTATAATCATATACTTAACAGCATACTATCACGATGAAATAATGAGAAGCTGATTTAATTTTAGAATAATTTAACATTTACAAATAATTTTTAAACATTTACGAATTAAAACCATTTACAAATAAATTGATTCCAGACTATGCCAAATGTATTTCCACTTCATATTGTGATATCAAAATGTAAAAAAAGGACTGTAAATTAAATAGCTGCAATTTTGTGCAGAGTATTTTATTTTTAGATGATATTAGATTAAAAGTTTATACAAGTACTTCTGTGACATATTTAGAATCCAGCATCGTGATTCTTGCTATAACTAAGTTTTTTTCTTAAATTAGTTGCTATAAAGGTGTGAAATTTTTCATTGGTAGGTAATTTAGTAATAAATCTTAATTTAAAAAATTATGTTAATCTTATATATTTAAATTGCGATTCTTATAAGAACTAGGTTTTTTCTTAAATTAGTTGCTACAAAGGTGTGATATTTTTTCCGTGGTAGGAATTATAAATCTTAGTTTATAAAAATTAGAAATTGGTATCGTCATATCGAGTTTTTGCACAAAAGAATTTTCAGTGTTTTTAACTTTGCGTTAGAATGATCTCTGTGAAATATCGTTATTGGTGAAAAAATGTTCTCTGCATTCCATGAATTGCATTAAATGCGATACTTTATGATTTCTATTTAAACTAATCGAATAGTTTTTTCTTCTTGCCAAGGGCCCCACGGCGACATTGTCGCAGAACGATACCAAGTTCTTGCGGAAAGATTTTACCTTTGGGAAGTTTTGGTTTTCAAAAATTTTTCTAAGATTTTTCCTCTTTTCTTCAGAATTATATTCAAAAGATGCTTTTCTCACGCATAGAAGAGGGAAGAAATGCTTATGATTTCTCTATTCTCATTTGAGAATGATGAAAAATAAAGAATATTGAAGTAAAAAATTTGGTTTTCTTTTCTGCAGAAATTTTCGTTCTATTTTTTTTATCCACTAATTACTATTGATTTCCACATAGTTTTTAAAATCTTAATATTTTTAATATGATATTATTTATTACAGCAACTAAATCTTAAAATCAAAACATGGATTTTGTATTGCATTTATTACATTTAGTATAATTGAGAAATAACCCTTTTTAGAAGAGTCCGATTCACGTGATTTCACCATCGATCTTCTTTTTTTTTTGTAATTGCAGCTACGGATTTCACGATTTTTTATAATTTTTGAATGTGATGAGGATATACAAAATGGGAAAATGAAATAATTATTGTGCTTTCCCCCCTAACAAAAAGCGAGATGATCGCCCATAATATTAGAATTGAAAAAATATTACCTATTTGATTAAAACAATTTTTTTATTTTTCCGAAAGGCTTTTTTTTAAGTTGACACTTCTGTTACTTTAAATCAGTAACATGTGTACTTGTTATTATTGATTAATGTATCTAGCAAAAAGATATTAGTACTGGAGAGGTATGTCGAAGAAAGCACGCAAAAATTCTACAAAGGGTGTGCTATACATCTGGTTGGTATTTGGGTCTAAGATTTAAGTTTGGGAATAGTTTCTGTTCTGATGTTCAAAGTAATTTTCCCCCTTTTTTTTGGTGATTAAACTTGAAGTTTATCAACATTCAATCCATTACTTAATATAAAACTTATAAGTTAATGAACTTTAAATAGATTAATGATATAATTAATAAAGCTAGAATTTCTAATTAAGGTATTTTTATTTCTTGATAAGACTCATCTTTTTCTTTAAATAATTTTTCAGAATGTACGTATGTTATAAAACTTGTTTTATGTTGGTCATAGATGACGGTTGACACGGTCGATAACAACTCTTCCCATTCACTCGTCCACAGATTCTAATTTTGACCCGAACCAGAGAATCTCCAATTCAGTACCCCCAGAAGTATGATTTGTTATGGGAACACAGAAGACGCTGTAACCAGACAGATTTAACATACTTCAGACACCATTTACTACATAGGAAGTCTTCAAAGGCGGGGATCAAACTCACGACCTCCTGGACATGCCAATATATCTCGCGCTCAGATTAAAACTCTTCCGGCTTCCCAATTCCTTCCTCTCCGCTGTGACGTTTAAAACCAAGAATTTTCGTATTAGTTAGCAATATGGACGTATATTACCTCTTCGGGAGGATGAGTACGGGATGATTTAGTAGCAATTCCCACCAAGGAAATGTAAAACTGGTTTTTGTACATTTTAGAAAATTAACAAAAATTGAGTAAATTTCCTTGAAAAAATCCCTATGGAAATAGAATTTGTGTACAGATTATTTCTTGAATATTTAAATAAGTATTACTAATACTTAATAAAGTGAACCTCATTGGTGAAAAAAATGTTCTCTGCATTCCATGAATTGCATTAAATGCAATACTTTATGATTTCTATTTAAACTAATCCAATAGTTTTTTCTTCCTGCCAAGGGCCCCACGGCGACATTGTCGCAGAACGATACCAAGTTCTTGCGGAAAGATTTTACCTTTGGGAAGTTTTGGTTTTCAGAAATTTTTCTAAGATTTTTCCTCTTTTCTTCAGAATTATATTCAAAAGATGCTTTTCTCACGCATAGAAGAGGGAAAAAATGCTTATGATTTCTCTATTCTCATTTGAGAATGATGAAAAATAAAGAATATTGAAGTAAAAAATTTGGTTTTCTTTTCTGCAGAAATTTTCGTTCTATTTTTTTATCCACTAATTACTATTGATTTCCACTTAGTTTTTAAAATCCTTATATTTTTAATATGATATTATTTATTACAGCAACTAAATCTTAAAATCAGAACATGGATTTAGTATTGCATTTATTACATTTAGTATAATAGAGAAATAACCCTTTTTTGAAGAGTCCGATTCACGTGATTTCACCGTCGATCTTCTTTCTTTTTTTGTAATTGCAGCTACGGATTTCACGATTTTGTATAATTTTTGAATGTGATGAGGATATACAAAATGGGGAAAATGAAATAATTAGTGTGCTTCCCCCCTAACAAAATGCGAGATGATCGCCCATAATATTAGAATTGAAAAAATATTACCTATTTGATTAAAAAAATTATTTTATTTATCCGAAAGGCTTTTTTTTAAGTTGACACTTCTGCTACTTTAAATCAGTAACATGTGTACTTGTTATTATTGATTAATGTATCTAGCAAAAAGATATCAGTACTGGA